GAGGAAAGGCTGAGGGGAAAGTTTAGTCTGGAGAAGAGGAGGCTGAGGGGGGACATGATTGCTCTCTTTAAGCATTTGAAGGGCTGTCACTTAGAGGAGGCGCAGGGAGCTGTTTCTGTTGGCAGCAGAGGATAGGACTCACAATAATGAGTTTAAATTAAGGGCAGGAAGGTACTGGCTGGATATTGGGAAACACTTTTTCACAGTCAGTTATTCAACAGTGGAACCAGCTGCCTAGGGAGGTGGTGAGCTCCCCCTCCCTGGCAGTCTTTAAGCAGCGTCTGGAGAAACACTTTTCAGGGGTGCATTGAGCAGGGGGTTGGACTAGATGGCTTTTATGGCCCCTTCCGACTCTGTGATTTTGTGATTCTAGGTTCAGACCCCATTAGCAGTTAATTAAAACTGTAGTCTCCTTTTCAAAGCGAAAACCCATGAAACAAGGAAAAAACGTAACTAATACAGCAAGATTTCCTTTGCCAAAGATCCCTTTGCCAACAAGTCTAGCTGTGGTAAAGGCCCTGATACTCAAGACAATTAATTCCACCCTAACCTGAAGCTCCACTATAATACTAACCACCTCAGGAGATCAAGAGTGGCCTTCAGATCTTCAAGTTGCTAAATTCCACTGAAAGCTTCTGATAAACTCTGTGTTGCCCAAGCATCAGTTTTCCATATTAGCTATCACTGGAGTAGTGTGGAATCTTCTGATGTCGAAATGGACTGGGGGTGTGTGGAATTGACATAGTTAGTTGGAGAGCCAGAAACCAGCTATTGTAGCAAAAACCAATGATATGGTTGTCTGGCCTTGGGGTCTGACCTGAAGTTTTAGGGTTTTAGCCTTCTCAAGGCCTCTGAGGAAAGGAGAAAAATCTCACTGGCAAGAATCAAGGGGACTGCCTATTTTCTGCTTGCCTTGGTAATTTTCCGTTCACACCATTATCCACATCCTCTAAGGTTCATCAGACTCTATCCTGAGGCACCAGGCACAGCTGCTGACTAGCCAGTGCTATCCTCTGCTTCTGGTACCAGGTTGCATTGGATTATCTGCTGTGCACCAGTCCTTCATCCCCAGGCAGATCATGAGTGCAGTTTAGGGGTTAGAGAGTCAATTTAAAACATCCTTTAAGACTTGAATTCGGTCTTGTTGATTTTTCCAGAGAAACCAGCCTGTATTGTCTAGCCTGCAAGAGAATATGTGGCAGCTCTGAGAACATGACAGTTGTGCTCAGTAGAAGAAAAATCGCAATTTTTGTAGTCAGTATAGTTTAGTAGCTTCTGGTCAAAGCAACGTTTCTGTGCTTTTAGCAGATTCATAACGAAGACACAGGAGGGGTTTAGGAAGTAATGCGTGGTTCTTAGATGTTAGAGGCCTGATATTTTATAACTGTAGAAGACCCTGATGCTGGGAAAGATTGAAGGTCAAAGAAGACGGGGACGGCAAAGGATGAGATGGTTAGACAGTGTCATAGATGCAACAAACATGAAATTGAGCCAACTTCAGAGGACGGCGGAAGACAGGAGGGCCTGGCGGGAGCTGGTCCATGGGGTCGCAAAGAGTCGGACTCGACTGTGCGACTGAACAACAACAAGAAGGACATTGGGGGGAGAGAGAGTGAAAAGTGGTTCAGTCCAACCCAGTGTATTGTACTGGTTTGAGAGTCAAATTAGGACTGGGGACACCCAGGTTCAAATTCCCTCTTGGCTGTGAAACTCTCTGTGTGAGAGACCTTGGGCCTGTCACTATGTCCCAGCCTAGCCTACCTCACAAGGGAGTTCTGAGGATACCATGGGAGCAAGCCGTTGAGCTTCCAAGAGGAAGGGCAGGATAAATGTCAAAAATAAACTGTTAGGGAAAGGTGATGGTTGATGGAAGATTCCCTGCAGAGGAGATCAGACGAAGTAGGGTAAGCAAAAAGATTAGCAGTGACAGAAATCTGCTTAACCTGGGCTTTTTTTTTGTCTCTGCACAGGGCTTCTGCTCCTGGTTAACAGCAATCTTCAGGATAAAGTAAGTGAGCGCATGTCTATGCATGTAGTCCTCCATTCCAGCACTTAGGTGCCACCAGCAGCCAGAAGAGATCATGGTGGCAGGAGCTCTGATACTTTAGGGGTGTACCACTTATGCTGTTATGATTTCTGTTGTTAGTATTCCCAACCAAAACCAAGGTCCTATTGCTTAGGGAGGAGAGGGAATTATTTTTCACTTTCCCTTAAACGAGGAAGGGTAGAAAACAGTGAGTTGGATCCAGTGATCTTCTCACATAAGGATCACAAATCTTCCTTACTTTTTGCTCCCCCCAGCAGCTGTCTCTGACATCTGGAAAGCTGATTCCTCAGAATCAGAAATGGCTTATCGGGGTAACGTGGGGGAGATCTGTGATCTCTAGCACCTTCTGTTTAAAGAATCACTGGATACAACCTAGTATTTGAATCCACATTGTATAAATGGGCAAAAAAAGCCTTTTCCAAGGTCTGATTGGGAGTATATTTCAGAACTAGGAATCTTCTGCATCTTTGAACTTTCATCTGGTTTCTCCTGTGCTTTGGTGATGTGTTCTACCTTTAGAAGTCATGTCCCATGGTGAGGAATTTCCAGACAGTGGGTTAAGGCCTGGGTGATAATGCTTTGAGATGCTTGCATCCAAAACATTTCAAAGCATGCATGGTTGGGGCTAAAACTGTTCTCTTCAAACATAAGGTGGTTCCAGCATACAGAGCTGGAAGTAGTAGGAAGCACCAAAGAAACTGGAGCGGTAGCTCTGTTGCCAAATGGGAAGGTCTGAAAGTACCGCGATGGAGATGGCAGCCAGTGCATTTGAGCATAGCTGCCACCATTGGAAAGAGGCTGATTTAGTACCCTCACCCCACTACCATCAGTAGTTGACTTCCTGTAAGTGAGAATTGAAAAACTAGGTCAAGGTTTTAATGTTTATATTCACTTGCATATAAAGTGGAATAAAAAGGAAATATGTAAAACTGATACTGCTTGCTGTTCTATGAAATCTCAAGGTGCAAACTGGTGAAACAAAGCAGTTAGAACAAAACTGTAACCACTGCAGGGTAAAGGGGTTGGCATGGAAAAGGTTCAATCCAATGTCTTAGAAAATGTTATTGAGACCAAATCCCACATTACGTGAGAGCCATTATTGCAGGGGTCCTCAACCTTTTCAAGCCTGTGAACACTTTTGGGCTTTCTGACGTAGGGTGGTGGGCACAACCACAAAATGGCTGCCATGGGAATTGAAGCCAACCACACAGACACCTTACACACACAGGAAGCCCAAAGGCAGGAGATAAGAGGAGTAATTTTTTAAAAAAATACACCGAGAATGAGTAGTGAGAGACAGTAAAACGGATTCCGTGGTGGCAGCTTCTGCCAAAACAGTGTTATTTTAATTTGCATAGCCAGTCAGAAGACCTGCTGGGCAGGAGCCTCGCCCACTTTCTAAAATCACTGGGTGGATGCCAGGACACCCACAGCCACCACATTGGGGACCACTCTATTACTGGATCTTCTGACAGTTTTTTTTAACATTAAAAAGCATTTGTGGGGGGGGGGGTGCTGATCTGGATTGAAGCTGTGACACTTGGGTGGGGAGACTTCTAGTCTTTTTCCCCCTTGGTATTTTCTCCACCAGAAATACCTCCTTCCCTAAGGTACTATTAGATGTGACCCAGGGGAGTCCAGTATGGTTCCCTGTCTGTCCCCCCTCCCCTCCGTTGCAGCAAATAGGCACTTCAGGGAAGGTGACTTTTATTCCAGCAATGTCACAGGCAGGGGAGTAATCCTCCACCCCAGCAATGCCATCCGGATCCAGAGAGACACACACCTACTTTTTACGGTTAAAGAAGATATCTATGAATGGGTCTCCCAACACTTGGCCCTCTGTCTCTAATTGGACATAGCTACTCCTTTACAGTGGACATAACTGCTAAATGCTGTGTTTTACCTTCTCTTGATGTCACTCATATATGGGTTGTTTGCCCCAGCTTGGATACTATTGGGAATTGGTGTTTTCTCCTACTTTCCCCGCAGCTTCGTGGTGCTTCTGTGTACCTCCCAGGTTTCCCCTGTCTTTCTCAGACTTGCTTTGCTGAGATATTTTGGGGAATGACTGCAGCAAAGTCAAGGCAGCACCCATGTGAAAGGAAGATTCTGGATTGTACAAAGCCATTTTCCCATGCCCCGGTCCCCCACAGTAGCACCTTCCTCCCCATCACTTGAGGGGTATATTTTTTAATCAGCAATTGATTGTCATGATGTCATATTGTCATAATGCTCTAACAATGTGTCTATCAGGTTCTCTGAATTCCCATCTTGTAGTATCTGCCAAGTCTCCTCTAAGGAGCGATCAGTGGGATGGGTCCTCTAGCCATGCCATCTGGAGAGAAGAGACAATCTCTCTCTTTCTCCAGCCATTTCCCAAAATCTGTTGCCTTCCTGACAGTAAATTCCCTTTCAGGTGGTTGCTCTGCTGTTATGGTCACCACTTGTCTTGTCGTGCCTTTGGGTAGCCAGTGCTTCAACCACCTATTATTCCTTTCCAGAGACGACGAGATCCGGGATAAGTGTGGGGGTGATGCCGTCCATTACCTCTCTTTTCAGCGGCACATCATAGGACTGCTAGTTGCTGTAGGTGTCCTCTCTGTGGGCATTGTGCTGCCAGTGAACTTCTCAGGGGATCTGCTAGGTGAGTGGGCAGCTATTGCTTTCCAGCTCTGCTGGAATTAGACAAGCTCATTCAGTGCTGAGACCTAATTATTCTAGCGCTAGCTGAGGGGGCCAAGGAACATGTAGGTTGCCTGGACACAAGAGCAGCCCGTCAGGCCTCAAATAGCTTGTCATTACACAGGAAAGCAATTTGGGATTATAGAAGTAAAGGGAAACAGGGAGCAAGGAGAGAAATAATTAATGTAGCTCTTGTTGCATTTAATCCCACAAGGGTCATTCAGCAGCTTCCCTCCCAGCCAGTAGGCAATGTTAGGATGAAGGAATGCAGGATTGCGGGGTAGGGCGGGGTAGAAATACCTGAATAAATAAATAAATAAATAAATAAAAAGATACCTTGATTAACACTCAGGGAGGCCCTGATGTCAGAGAAAAAAAATTCTTTTCTGGGATTGAAGCTGTAAACTCCTTAGATTTCAGGCTGAGGGGAAGAGCGTTTCCTTTATGAGGGCAAATAGGCAGGATGGAGATGACCATTTGCCTGTCTGCCAGGAAGGGGCAAGATTGTTTGGATATTTGGATATCCTGAATTGGACTATAAAGGTTGTGGGATGTGCATTTTGATTTGATGGAAGAAATGGTGCAAAGCAATATATGTGGGGGCTGTATACCCCATTTCATGACAGGTCAAAGTAAAACACACACACACACCCCAAGCTGGGACAGGAAGGGTTGAAAATTCTGGACACCCTGTAAGAGATGTGGAAGCCAGGGAATAGGGAGCAATGGAGTGAAGTCTGTTTTGACTAGCCTCTATTTTTCAAAGTTCCAGGACACTCCTGTCCAATCCATGGAAAGGAATGTAAAGGTAACACCACTGACTGTACAACTTAGTTAAGCCTCCTGTGTTTATTTCTTTTCTTAGTCCTGTAACACCCTGTGGTGCTTTCATGTAGTTTTCCAGTTCCCTTGTGGCTCTAGTGAATTGAGGTTGTATTTTGGTAAATAAAGATCTTTTAAAGACCTCAGACTGTAGTTGAAGATCTCACCCAGGCTGCCTTACTACTCATTCCACACATAGACCAGAAACTCCTGACTGAGCTACAGACAATTAGCTGGCCACTGGTGGGGTGCGTGTGTGAAGCAGTTCACACACACATGGCCACATAGCTTTTGTATGTGCCTCAAGCTGTGGGTATAGAAAGGAGGGGCAAAACTTGTGTGGTGGCAGCTATTGAAGATAGGAAAGAGAGAGTGGGGGGCAAGTGGGACAAGCCTTCTCACACATGCGCGCAGATTCCCTACCGCCTCTCAAGCAACGGACAGCAAGAAGGAAGGGGGAGGGAATCTTTTACAAGCAGGGCTTCATCCTTGCTGCCGGAGCTCAGTGGCTAGAACAGGAGTAATGGGGTGGCTCTGCTCACTCGCCAGGGGCTTTTACCATTGACTTGACTCTGTCCACCCTAATTCCCGAGGGATAAACATGTTAGTCTATTGTTGCAAAATATAACGGAAGTCCAGTGGCACCTTGGAAACTAGCACAATTTATTCCAGCATCAGTTTTTGTGAATCAGAGCTCACTTCTTTAGAAGCTATGAGGAGGAAATAATTTTCCACATTTTATAAGGAACATTGCATAGGAGAGAAAACAGTGACTTTCAAATCTGCAGTACTGTATCCAGGAAGATTAAAATGGGCCGTCATTGGATTCCGAATGTTGCAATTTTTTAATGACAGAAACGTGTTCATTGATTCACTTTTGTAGGGACCATCATGTTTGTCCAATACAAATAGTAGAAGGGTATTGCTGCATGATGAGGGCATATGTTAAACTGGATGATGTGCAAGTGAATGAGCCCAGGATGGTGTAGAAGATGTTATTAGGCCCCATAATACTATTACCTGAGTGTTTGGTGACAAAGTTGGCATCTGGGTCTGTGGCAGGGTTTTGTTCTTGGATTTGTCTCTCTGCTCGGAGGTGAGAAGCTGGGGGGTTTTGAGGGGGGGGGGCTGTCTGTAATAAGGAAAGGCCGGCCACCCAATGCCTGTGGAAGAGAAACATCCTTATGTAGGAGAGGATATAGGTCACTGGTGATGCATTGAAATGGTTTCTGTTGTGAACGGTGTGTGTCAACCAGTGGGGTTCTTTTGTTGCTTTCGTTGGGTCTTGTATCAGGTTGGCCCTGGGTGCCATTCTGGCCTTGTGGATCTGTTCCTTACTAGGAAGGTATAGCCAGCTAGCAGGTGCCCTGTAGCCCACTGCCTCCAGGTGTACCCTGTTTCCCTGAAAATAAGACCTACCCCAAAAATAAGCCCTAGCAGGATTTCTATGCATTTGTGGTATAAGCCCTAGTGTGTCTTCTTGAGAAAAAATAAATATAAGACAGTGTCTTATTTTCGGGGAAACACGGTATTTCAAGTGTCTTCTGCAAGGGTAGGAAAGGAATTCCGTTTTTAATGCATTAGTAATTTTAAGTTGGTCCTGAGATAACGTTTATGAAATTATCAAGACTGGTACTTGAATCACTGGAAGAACGCAACATAAGTAAATGAATAGTCCAGGAATGAAGATGGATACTTTGAGAAAAAAATATATTATTCTATTATGGTAGATCCATCTGTGTTGTTTTTTTAAGGGATGCACTACTTATTAAAGATCACTTTGAGTCGCAGAGTAAAAATTTCCCCCCGAATAAATAAATAAATCATATCTGCTGTTATAACTTTGTCATTCAGTTGCATCTAATGCATGTTTCTTTATCTGTTTCTTACCAGAGAACAACCCCTACAGCTTTGGGAGAACAACTATTGCTAACTTGAATTCGGGGTAAGTTTGATACTGGATGCCGTCAAGAGATCATGTTTTTAAAAGGACAGTACAGTATTGTTAGAGGAAAAGCTTCTCATTTGGCTTGTCATTGGCTGAATGAGCTGACCCAGAGTGAAAAGATACTCAAACAGTGGTCAGGATAGGATCTCTCTCCTTTTTCTTGCACTAGGGATGACCTGTTATGGCTGCACACCTCCTTTGCCTTCTTGTACCTGTTGCTGACTGTGTACAGCATGCGTCGCCACACTTCCAAGATGCGCTACAAGGAGGATGACTTGGTGAGTCCAAACCAGCATCTTGTTAGGCTTGTCTTCTGCCTCAGTTTCCTTAGACCAGCCCCCCAGCAGTTGCTGGGCTGTCTTGCTGTTCATGGTGTGACTGTCGTAGCACAAAGCTTTCTCAGACCCATGACATCTGTTCCTCTCTATACAATCTATGAAGTACCCCAAGTGTTTCTCCTGTATTCTACCAGTTGGGGTTTGTTTCTGTTTTAAAAAGCTAAACCATTTTACAGCTATGATTGTTCTCAATGGGACTTAGAACCCTCATAAAACAATTGACAAAATAAAATGCCAATGAACATTATGTTAGCAGCAGTGCATCCTGTAGTAAAAAAAGAGACAATCCTAGTTTACTTTGGTGGACGAATATGTCTTTGCAAGATCTCCTAACCAGCATTGCAGAGACCTAGTGAATTTCACTGGAAATAGTGATCTTTTGGTGGTGTCTGCCACCACCAAAAGATCACTGTTTAGAATTAACAACTCCTTCTCTCATCCAAAGCAAAATCTGTCCTAACAGTCCATAATTCAGTGCGTAACCAGCATTATTCCGAGAAAAGATGTCATATGATCTCTGTGGTTAGCACCAGAAAAAATGCATGCATGAGTCGCTGAAGTTTCCGGGATGTCTTCAAGAACAGCCTCATGCAGAATATGTTTCAGTGGCCAAGTCGCCAGGTTACCAGAGGATGTGCAACAGTGTTGAAGGTCCTCTGGTTTATTGGACTCAGTCTTTCGGGCTGCTTTTTCACACGCATCCCATTGCCCTCCATCGTATTGCTAATGCTGATGAATATCCCCCTCTCTGACCAGGATGAGAATTGGCACATCAAGGAGGTTCCTTAGTTGGGTGCTGCCATACAGTTGACCCAAGAGCACTGCCAATGCAAACAATGCTGTTTGAAGTAGAGCTACACCCTTCTAAGTCCATTGAAGGGTATAAGTGTGCTTAGGATTGCACTGTAAGTTTCCTGCTCCTGTGATTTTGACCTTTTTGTTCCACCCCTTTTGCCTTTGTGTAGTATCTATTGAGGGCTGCGGTGGCTCAAGTGGTTAAGACACTGAACTGCAGATCGGAAGGTTGGTAGTTCAGCAGTTCGAGACCCAAGTGCCGTATGATGGAGTGAACTCCCATCTCTAGCCCCAACTCCTGCCAACCTAGCAGTTCAAAAGCAAGAAATTGCAAGTAGATAGGTACCACTTCGGTGGGAAGGTAACAGCATTCCATGTGCCTTGGTGTCTAGTTGTGCCAGCCACATGACCACAGAATCATCTTCGGATGGCGCTGGCTCTTTGGCTTGGAAACGGAGATGAGCACCACATCCCTAGAGTCGGATTTGACTGGCTTTTGAGCAAGGGAAACCTTTACCTTTACCTAGTATCTATTGAGTGGTCTGAGCAATGGTGATCCTTGGGGCTGGGTTTTTTTATTATTACTTCACCATTTTGTTACTCAATATGTCAAAAAACTTAGCTCAAAATATAGCAGCATATTTACTGCCTGGTATAAACTTATAGAATCATATTGTACCAATCCTACAAGATCTTTATGCATTCCCCATATGCTTTGGACCCCAGTTGAAGTTGCTGGCTGTGATTTATATAGTCCTAAACAATATGGGTGTGAAAATCTGCCAGTGAATCCCCGCTTAATGTGCTACTTTTTCTGGATATCAGGTTGGCATCCGGTAGGAACAGGGCCTTCTTGGTAATTGCCCCAACTCTGGGAACTGCTCTCCCCCCAGGAGGAGCATCCCCCATCCCCATCATTTGCCTCCTTTCAAAAGCAGACATATTCGTATTTTGCCAGGCCTTTGGGAAATTAACTCTTTGTTGGTGTTTATTTTGATACACAAGTGTGATCCTGTGTTGTTTTGATGGTTTTTATTTTTATTTTTAATTTTTAGTTTCTATTGTTTATGTTGTAAACCACCTCGGAAGTCATTACTGAAAGCTGGCGTTACAAGGAAATAAATAACTGTGTTTTCAAAAATACTAGGACAAAAGCTTGCCTCCCCCAACCACACATACTTTTCCTCCTTCCTCAGAGTAAAGAAAAATATTGTCTCTGTGGATGAACAAAAGATGGCTCCTGAAGCCCTTCTCATTTATTCCTCGCCTTTTGTCTGTTCCAGGTGAAGCGAACTCTCTTCATAAATGGCATCTCAAAATACGCTGAGCCTGAGAAGATCAAAAAACATTTTGAGTGAGTCGTACTGGCTAATTACATTCCCTTGTGCACAGCCCTGCCCTCTAATACTCAGGCATCTGTCCCCACAGGTGACTCTGTGGCCCAGTGCAGTCAAAGGATGGCTTAGATGGAGGTGTCGGCTATGCAGGAGTAGCAAGAAGGAGTGGCATTCGTGTATCCTTCCCTGTCTTTAATTGGCCTCTCCTCCTCCTCCTCCTCCTCCTCCCTCCCACTCCCTTCAGAACCTCAACATATGAACTTCCTTCCAAAGGCCAGAGTTGGACAGGCTTTCCTTCCAGGGCCTAAAGCGCAGGTTCCCTAGGAAGTAGCTTAGAGTACATCTTCACTCTTGTTCCTTGGAAGGTGGAATTACTTTTTTTGGGGGGGTTGCTCATCCTGTACGTTTCTCATGAGCCTCTGCTGGTGGTGGTTGTTTGTTTTTTATTGCAGAGAGGCCTATGCCAACTGCACAGTGCTGGAGGCTCGCCCCTGCTATGATGTGGCCAGGTTGATGTTCCTCGATGCCGAGAGGTAGAGTCCAGGGACTGTGTGGAGTGGAAGCTGATAAATGTTGGAAGCCAGGAGGACAGAAAACCTCATGGGCTAGGATGCTTGTGTAGTATAAAACCCATGTCTAGTTCCAACACACTTTTTTCTTACATAGTAGCTTTCTCATTCCTGGGACTAGCAACGGATATGGTTGAGGATGTGATGGTAACATAGGAAGTGCAGGGGAGAGCTAGTGGGTTAGTTTCAGGGCCACTGATGGAGGCCCATAGAATAGGGTTACCAAGTCCTTACTGTATGCAGAGCGGGGGACTCCAGCGCTGCTCCGGGAGTCCGTGCGTGCAAAGCACGCGCCGCGATTACGTCACCCGGAAGTGATGCAACCATGTCAGGTATGCTGGGGGCGGGGCCACAATAATTCAAGGGAAAACCATAGAGTTTTCCCTCAGATGGCCGCGGCCCCACCCCCAACGTGCCCGCCGTGACTGCGTCACTTCCGGGTGATATGCTGATGCCGGGCATGTCGCATGCTTTGGGGATGGGGTTCCCCCCGGGGCCTGATCCGCCGGCAGTGGGTAACGGGCCTCTCGGGCGGGGTTTTCCCCGCCCCCCGGGGGGACTTGGCAAGCCTACCATAGAAGAAAGCCAGGCTAGGACAACAAGGGCTCCTGGTCCACACTGAGTGGCAAAACTCTGTGAGGATGGACCCGTGACTCAGAAGCTCTTCAGATGTTGGGCACGAGGGAAAATGGGGCATGAATGAGTTGTGTTGCTACTGCAGGCTTATATTCCTTCTCACAACTTGCCCAGTAAAGCAAGAAATTTGCCTTATAATGGGGAACATTAACTGCTTGCTCAGACATCACAGAGACGCTGTGGCAGAACGGGCCAGAGAGTGCCTAAATCTCCTACATCCTGTCCAGCCCCCCAAGCACCCCCGTCCCCTTCTCCGAATTCACACTTCTCCTTCAGACTGTGAGTTTTCAGGAGCAGCAGTCTTCTGTGGTGAACAGGGTGGTTCTGTGTGGTACAAAGTATCAAGGAACAATTCCCTAAAATAGCATGTTGTATTGACTCACAGGAAACCTTCAGGGTTGTTTTCCTGACTCTATCATGCATGGACATGCAGATGACCTGACCCTGCGTTTGTCTCTGTCCTTCCATGCCCTTCATAGCTTGCTGTCCTTTGCAATCCTCAGGGTGTGGTTTTCTAAGCTTCGTCTTCTCCTGTGTATTTTCTCTTTCAGGAAAAAGGCAGAGCGAGGGAAAATCTACTTTACCAACTTGCAGGCCAAGGAGAACACCCCGTCTATGATCAACCCTAAGCCCTGCGGTCATCTTTGCTGCTGTGCTATCACAGGCTGTGAAGAGGTGCAGAGGGGGGAGGAGTTGCAGAATGACAAAAAGAGGCTACTAGGAAGCATGAGTGTGGGATTCTGGGAAGATGGAGGCCCATTACTAGAGATGCTGCTGCTGTTCCTGCTGTACTTGTAACTTGTGCATGTGCGGAAGAGTCCGACTCCTGAATCCCAGATTACTTAGCTCATGCCTCTGTTCTTGCTGCTGGCACCTCTTCTCTTTCCTCAAATTTCAAAGAACCCTCTGGGGAAAATAAATGCATTATTATCAATTGGCCTTGTTTCATATTTACTGCACCATTTCTGCTAATGTGCCTTAATAGTGAAGATGGTTATTTGTCAGCGGTTCAAGACCCGGGTGCCGCAAGACAGGGTGAGCTCCTGTCTCTAGTTCCAGCTCCTGCCAACCTAGCAGTTCGAAAGCAAGAAATTGCAAGTAGATAAATAGGTACCACTTCGGTGGAACGGTAACAGCGTTCCGTGCGCCTTGGTGTTTAGTCATGCCGGCCACATGACCACGGAAACGTCGTCGGACAGCGCTGGCTCTTTGGCTTTGAAACGGAGATGAGCACCGCAACCCTAGAGTCGGATTCGACTGGCTTTCGAGCAAGGGAACCTTTACCTTTACTAACAATATCTAAAGGAGCTGTGGTGGCTCAAGTGGTTAAGACGCTGAACTGCAGGCTGTGGAAGGTCAGTAGTTCAGCAGTTCGAGACCCGAGTTGCCGCATGATGGAGTGAGCTCCCGTCTCTAGTTCCAGCTCCTGCCAACCTAGCAGTTCGAAAGCAAGAAATTGCAAGTAGATAAATAGGGACCACTTCAATGGGAAGGTAACAGTGTTCCGTGCGCCTTGGTGTTTAGTCATGCCGGCCACATGACCACGGAAACGTCTTCGGACAGCGCTGGCTCTTCGGCTTTGAAACGGAGATGAGCACCGCAACCCTAGAGTCAGATTCGACTGGCTTTCGAGCAAGGAACCTTTACCTTTACCTAACAATATCTAAAGGGCATAAGGATCTCACGGCTTCTCAACAATCCTGTGAGATGCATTTGGCTAATGACTTATCCTAAATGATACAAATGCACATCCTGGCTGTGTGAGGACTTGAACCCAGATCTAGTCCAAGACTATGGCCCCCACTGAGCCTTCATAGCATATGAAACTGAAACTCCCAGAGAGCTTGCCAGTGCTACCTCTCACTGGGCAGATGGGAGATGCTGAGGAAGTGTGACGCTGCCATCCATTGGGCTAAGAACATATACAGCTCCAGGACGGAGTAGTTTAAAGTGATGATGGGGTTGTGTTGACTCTTTCTGTCCGTATCTAGGTGGAAGCCATTGAGTACTACACCAAACTGGAGGAAAAGCTCAAGGAGGACTACAAGAGGGAAAAGGAGAAGGTGAACGAAAAGCCACTGGGGATGGCCTTTGTCACCTTCCACAATGAGGCCATTACAGCCATGTGAGTACAGGGAGCTCAGGATGGAGAAGCACGATTTAGTGAAAAGAGGAGAACATAAAACCATATGACTTGCCTTGCTAGTCTGAACCAGGGTTTATCTACCCTGGTACTCTAACAGTGGCCATCTGGTGCATCTGGAAACTCATCTCCAAGGAATGGTACTAAAGATGATGACCCTCATTGAGAAATCAGAGGGGATGCTGCTTTTGGAAGGGTAGCCACAAATAACACACACCAAGGGAAGACCATCAACTATTCAACATTATATATGATCAAAATTGTATATTACATTCATTAAAGTACAAGGATGGGTTAGTGGTCATAACCCAAATAGAATGTATAAACACATATCCAACAGATTGCTGATAACAATTAGGCGTTATTTACAAGTTCTTTTTGTAATAATGCCTAATTGTTATGAGCAATCTGCTGGATATGTGTTTATACATTCTATTTGGTTAATACCACTAACCCATCCTTGTACCTTAATGAATGTAATATACAATTTTGATCATATATAGTGTTGAATTGTTGATGGTCTTCCCTTGATGGGCATTATTTGTGGCCATACTCGTACACTAAGGGCTCACTATTGTCTTTGGCCTTTGGAAGGGTGACAGCCACAGACAGCCCATTCCTCCATCAAATTGCATTAATGCCTTATGTTTTTAAAAAGTCGTTTCAGCTACCACTTCTCGTGAGAGGGAACTCCCTGTGTTAATAAAGAAGTGTTTCAAAGAAATATTCGAAGTATTTCAGGCTGTCTCTCCTGGAGGTGTGGTCTTATTGACAGTGAGGATCCCACTGTTCTAATCTCATGTGTATGAGAGAAGTATCTTTCCAGGCTAGTCATAATGTCCCATCTTATGACTATCCTCTTTGGGGGAAAACAAAGAATTTTTGTTAGTTTGTTTTGTTTGGGCTAGGAAAAGACATGAGTGGGACATTCCATTGTGAATGCTGCAGACCTGCTCCCAGGCAACCCTCACCCCTCTCTTCTTTCTGCTTCCTCTCAGAATCCTTAAAGATTTCAACGTGTGCAAATGCCAAGGCTGCAAGTGCCGTGGGGAACCGAGAGTGTCTTCCTGCAGCGAGTCCCTCCATGTCTCAAACTGGACAGTCTCGTATGCACCTGACCCTCAGAACATTTATTGGTAAATGAAACACTGCCCATCATTGGCCTAGAAACAGAACGCGCCATCAGGGCACCAACCTTCTAATGGTATACAGATGCTGAGAAGCCAGACCATCTCTAATCTCCCATTGGTTGGCTTGGTCAGGCCATGGGCCTGTTGGTGAGACTGTGTTGTGATAAATAAAGGAGCAGGGTGGTTTTAAAGAGAGTTCAGGCCCATGAGGACTGGAATGCCCAGAGTTTGCCAAGCTGTCTCAAGCACCTTTGCTGGAAAGGGCAAGGTAGAAATGATTTGGTGGAAAGAACAAGGTAGAAACACAGCATCAGGCTCTCCCACATGTCAATTTGGTTTTTCGACTTGTCTTCTCTTCAGGGAGCATCTATCAATTCGTGGCTTCATCTGGTGGTTCCGCTGCCTCATCATCAATGTGGTGCTCTTCATCCTGCTCTTCTTCCTCACCACTCCTGCCATCATCATCACCACTATGGACAAGTTCAATGTCACAAAGCCTGTGGAGTACCTGAACGTAAGTAACAGGACTGAGGGATTTGTAATGAGAATTTTCCTTTCTCTTTTTTGCCCAAAATGGAAACAGCCCCAAGAAAATGGCTCCTATGTCCAGTAGGCCTTGCCTCTATTGGATTAAATGTAAAAAAACAATTTGCCTTGGAAGCACAGATGCTTTTCAGAGCATTTCTGATCATCTGTGTTTCTCGGTTAAGGGAAAACAGCTGTTCAAACATATTACAAACATGATCCGACTCCTGTGGTAACAAGAGAAATAAATTTTACTTATAAAAATAGAAGCATTTCTTACATGACATATTCATGTAGGTACGTTTAATTTATTGTGCAGAGGTTAACTTCAAAAAGGCTAACTTGCTACAGCTCCAAGCCCAGGTAAGAGACAGAAGAAGAGAGGTCCTATATAAGATCAAACAGGTAGCCAAAGAGGCTCAACATCTAACTCATGAGAGGGCGGGGCCAACTGCTAGGTGTAGCCGAGTGAGATAATTCTCTTAACCCTTTCCCTCCTAGATCCTCTTGCATGCAGAGTTACAATATTCAACAGCCTTGTCAGGCTGATTGAGTGTTCCCACTGTCCCACAGATCTGAGGTCTCTTGCACAGAAGGGTGAATGAAGAGACAGTAGTAATGTTGTAGGCAATGCTCCCTCTACACTGTGGAGTCTTGTGAGCAAAAATTCTACTCTGTGAGCTACCGGCATTAAAGTGGTGAGCAAGCGATTTGGCTGCTGCGTAATATTAGTTTGCTCTGGAGCCCTCCTTCCTGAGCTAAGACAAAAATGTGTGAGCTGGAGGCTAAAAAACTGTGAGCTAGCTCACACTAACTCAGCTTAGAGGGAACACTGGTTGTAGGCAGTACTGATCCATTTTCATTAGGACCAATGAAAATGTCTTATAATAGTGAGCAAGTTTTCAAGTTTCCTGGAATTTTTTATCAGGCTTTGGATATTTGCTACCAATAAAAAGTGGAAATGAAAGATGTTTCAGGAATGATGGAGAAACCCTCTAGTTCATAGAGTCTTAAAATGGTGTTATGTTTTATTTTCTGAGTTCTGTTATCTGTAAAGGTCATGTCTTTTGTAATGACTTTAGTCCAAACTAGCAAAGTTAAGTCATTCATTTATCTAGATAAATCTGTGTGTGACCTGCCAACAGAGAATACATGATGAGTTAACGGGATTTAAATGGTGCACAATGGATTTCAAGATGCACCAAAGGCAATAGAGTCAGAAAAGCAAAGAAGTGCCCATTCTTCCTCTGAGAATATAAAAGCCAGCAGTTAATCAGAACACAGAGGCCCCTTGTATGGTGGATAGCAGAAGAGATATTGTGGCGGTCCATATATTAACAAAGCAAGAGATTAATTTTAGGTGATGTAATAGAAGCCAAATTAGGTAACATTACCTAGTGGTTGTAGAGCAAGGAACCCTCATAAGCCAAATCCCCTTTGTAGGTCATCCCCTTCCACTTAAAGAGGTCCTTCCCTAGCTGTCGACCAGTAACAGTACAGAACTGATTGCCCACAAGCAGAGTTACACCCTTCTAAATCTATTGATTTAGAAGAGTAACTGTGTTTAGGATTGCATTGTAAATTTGGAATTTCCCCATGCTATCATACAGGTGATAAGGATTAACAAGGCATAAATATGTGTTACTGAGTCTTTGCTGAGGTAGCTACAAACCAGGTTCAAACAAGTACACTTTTTCAATCTATGGATAAAGTTATAACAGTTCAGATTGTGGGAATTTGTTTTTGGACAGCTACTTGAATTTATCTTCATTCCTTTTGGGAACTTCAGCTGTATAATTTAGCTTGCCACAACTAGATTTCTTAATGCTGTGATTCCCATGCACGTTATACTTCATGGTAGTTACTGTTTTGTATCCCACCATTCTTACCTCATGGAGCTCCAGACAGCACGCATGGCACTTACGGAACCCAGCCCTGGTTAGCTTCAGCAAGAAGGCTGCTTTTAAGTGCCTCCAGACCCTACTCTAGGATTTGGGATGCACCAAGTTTGTTGCAGTGGCCACTGGCGTCCATTACTTGGGACTCTTATAAAGTTCACTACTTTAAATTCAATTTGTCACATTTTGTCTGCAAAAAAAAAGTCAAGGAGAAAAGGACTCAAGGCAGTTTAACAAGAACACCGGTGCTTAAAATGCGGTGTTTGCATTCAAGCTTCAAAGCAAGTGATACATTACCAAACCATTGCCAGCTAAATGGCTTTACACTGCATTTCACAAATTCAACAGTTTGTGTTGAATCTGATACCTCAGCTTGTAGACTAGGGCATGACCTGAGGGTGTATTGGGCTACAACCTCACTGAAGCCAAAGAGCTGGCCGGTGCTTGAAAGCCCTGTGTGTGTGCGCGTGTGCCTGAGTTCCATAGAAGGAAGGAGGGATAAAAGTGAATGACTGTATGAATGAATACATGTTGCCAGGCATTTGTTGAGTTTTGCATTTCTTAAGCTGGCTTCAGGAATTTTGCCAGTCTGATTCGACAGCGGAATACAGCCTTGCATTTTACAGTATCTGTTTAAACCCACAAAACTCTTCAGTGGCTTGTTGGAAAGCTGAAGTGGCAGAGTGTACAACAGTTCCAAATGTGTGAATTTTTCTGTAGAATAGTTGAGAAAGTACAGGATTGTCCTGCTTTCAGATCTTGAGGTTTTGGTGCAAATCATGTAGGATATTTGAGAAAGTACAGGATTACTTTCAGATCTTGAGGTTTTGGTGCAAATCCAAACTTCCTGTTATCAAAATGGTTCACCACATTATGGGGTGTCCCCCGTGAAGGAATAAAATATCTGGAGAGGGGCACAATTCCAGGGCAGTGTAGGTTTGGGAATCATCAACGTGTTCCTCCCACCAAGACCTGAATGAATTGATTGCCCACTGTCAGAAGGCCCTCGCTGATCCACACTGGATCCCTTTGCCCTCCCCACCCTGTCATTCTGATGGGATTTGGAAAGAAGGAAGCTCAAAAAGAACTGCTACTTTGTTCCAACAATGTTTCCTTATGCACTGGGAGAAGGTCACTGTTGTACTGCCACTGTTGGGATTAGTACTCCAGGTCATGTGCCCTTGCATGGAACAGCCGGCAGTATATGCACAACTGCGGGTACAAATCTCTGCATGCTCACCTGGTGGAATACATGAGTCATGCATGGTTGGGGGTCATCCAGAAGATTTTTGGAAGAGGGGCCATAGTTTGAAAAGATTGCACTAGCAGCTCCTATTAAGTGTATACCTGCAGGTCAAATGGCCAAAAATTTTGGCTTTTTCTAAATTAACAGAGACCAGTAATGAACTTTATAAAGAACACACCATATTCCAGTATAAAGCTTGGGCGCATATGTTTCACTCTGCAAAACTGTTAAATTTTGTATACATTCAAAGGAAGGGAAGCTTTGTAGAAGAACTTTGGCTCTGTGGGTTGAACCTTGTTGTGGGGAAGCTTTGCTAAGATATTCTTTTGGGTTCTGCCATGGTACACTTTGTCTTTTGGTTTCTACACATTTCACTCCCAAGTTATCAAGCATTACCTGAAACAAGTGATAGGTTTTTAATTGTTTTCTCCTTCCAGAATCCCATCATCACCCAGTTCTTTCCTACCCTGCTGCTGTGGTGCTTCTCTGCTCTGCTTCCCACAATTGTGTATTATTCGGCATTCTTTGAAGCCCACTGGACCAGGTGAGGATTGGGTAGTGCCGCGTGCCCAAGGGATGGCTTGGCTCAGGAGAGTTCCCCCCCGCCCACCTCATTGTTCATTTCAAATAGATTTTATGGAGTTTGATCTGACGTAATCCCCTCAGTAGCTTAGGTTCCATAAATCAATATTGGGGGGGGAAATAACAAATACTTTAAAAGCATTTTCGGTTTCTGACCGAATGTTCTTTTTCTGACTTTTAAACATGAATGTTAAGTTTTTTTGTTGTTGGACTCGGTTTTAACAGTTTATTTCATAGTCATATTGTAGACTTTCTTGGGAAATTCCGTTACAGAGTGGAAAGGCAACCTACATATTGAAAAATAACAAAGCTAAGCAGCCTGGCCAGCCCCTGGGTCCCATTTTCTGTTGCCCTGTACCTGAGAGTGTGCCTGCTAGCAGGAACTGGAGAGGATTCCAGCAGCATTGCTTAGCTGGCTGGCTGGAAGCCCAGTATTTTTTCATTAATTGTTCAGATCTTCTTTAATATAGTTTATAAGAGGAAAGGTTGCCCTGTGATTTCTTATGAAAGTGCCCCTACAGTCTCAAAATGTTTATTGTGAATGAATGAACAAAAAAAAATCTTCCAACTATCAAGAAAGTTTTACCGTAAGAAATGAATGGAGAAAATTGCCACACAGGGAAAGGAGTTTGTAAGCCACTCTGAGACTCCTTTGGTAGTGAAGGGCGGGGTATAAATCCAATCTCCTCTTCTTCTTCTTCTTGTTCAAGTCTTAAAATGATCAGGACTTAGCTGAATTCCCCTCCCTCCCCATAATGCTTGTGAATGAGGGGTAGCCTTTTTGGTGAATGGAGGCTACAAAAGGGGCAAAGCCACCAGTGACCACGTAGGCTCTGCTGCTGTCAAGCACCGTTATTCCCCTTATTTTCACCAAAAGATGCCGTAATGAGAGCAGGACGACTGCAAAAACAGAGTGAGGCCAGTAACTGTCCTCATTGCGACATCTTCTGGTTAACAACAAAGGGTGGGGGGGACACACAGAATTGTGACTGTCAGGAAGGGGCCACAAGAGTACAAAAATTACCTTTTGAGCCCCCCCCCATCTTTATTTTAAATCCAAATAATTCGGTTGTGAATAATGGAAATGAAAATCAGCCCCATGTGTTGAACAGATTGCAGCCTTTTTCTGTGCCTCAGTGTTGTCTTCTGTAAAATTTAAACACTATTCTTATTCAGGGAAGAGCTGTGAGGAAATATCTGTGTGAATGTCTGAGGCACGGTATTGCTGTTTCTGCAGTCACTTCCCACTTGCTAGTCTGTTTCCCCAAAAGTGTTTGGAAGTGCCCCCCCCTCACCCCATTGCTCTCTGCACGTGTACTAACTTTCTGTGTGCTGTGTGCTGGCAGGTCTGGAGAGAACAGGACAACTATGCACAAATGCTACACCTTCCTCATCTTCATGGTCTTGCTGCTGCCATCTCTGGGACTGAGCAGGTAAATGCACAGGCGCCGAGTGGGAGAAAATGTGTTGACTCTGACTAGTTAGCCTTGCCCAAAGAAATGGTGGACTAACATAGCCTGGCCTTGACCAAGCACCTGCAGAGATGCCTAATGATAAAACATCCGAATGATAAACACCACTTAGTAATCATGCTGCATGTCTTGTTTTTATGTTTCTCTCCCTAGTCTGGATGTGTTTTTCCGCTGGCTGTTTGACAAAAAATTCCTGGCTGAGGCTACGGTGAGATTCGAGTAAGTGATGTCTTAAAACAGGGGTGGGGGGAGGATACATTGTGCATAGCCTTTCATGTGCAGAGCAAGTCTATCTTCCTTGCAATCCCTGCTCACCCCATTTCCAGCCTTCCTCAGCAGGCAGTCTGCAGACGACCTCTGGCCAACCAGTCCTCCCAAATGTGCTATAACGAGCATTTTCCACTCTCCTCCAATGCATCCCTGTTGCCCCTACAATGGTCTTAAATCCCAGTTGCCACATTCTTTAAATTACTGTGAATGCAGACAATACAACCAATAAGCTGACACAGGGGAAAAGATAATCCATGCAAACAAGCTGTATAAAGCAGAGGTGAAGCTACTGGGACTTGAGAATGAAACTGGGCTATTCTATATAAACAGACATGCAGCATACATTGATCCAGGAGCTATGGATATGGGTCATGACTAATAGTCCCTTAAAGAGTGGAGACAGCCTGCAAAACAAGTTAGCTGAGTAAAACTAAGGGAAAAAATCTCATTTTAGAGTGAGCTATGATGATCATACTTAAGGGCAGTGACATACATAAGTTCAGCTACAGAAAAACGTGAACTAGATATCTTCCTTTCTGTTGATCCTCTTGCTATTCCTTGTGTGTGTACAGATAGGCAACCTATTTTTTGGTTATCCTGGTCTGTCTCTCTTCCAGGTGTGTATTCTTGCCAGACAATGGGGCCTTTTTTGTGAACTATGTAATTGCCTCTGCGTTTATTGGAAATGCCATGGACTTGCTACGTATCCCCGGCCTGTTGATGTACATGATCCGGCTCTGCCTGGCCCGCTCAGCTGCTGAACGCAGGAATGTCAAACGGGTATGTGGATCAGGCCAGAACACAGCGCAACTAAGGGTGCAACTAGACATTACTGGGAATGTATGATTGCTACTAGAAATAGATACAACCTATAGATTGCCAGTGTAACATGACAGAATAAGCAAATGGAATCCTCTTGCCAAATCTTTTCTTCAGAATTTGTTGTGGAATGCAAGAAATGTTGCCTAACTGGATTTTGGTAAGAGTCCAGTTAAATTTTTACCAGTGTCCTATCAGTGGGGAAAGTATGAGATAAATGTTGTAGGAGGCACAGCATGAAACCTGGAAGTTTACACCCCTTTGAGGAAGGGTTTCACTTCAAGAAAGAAGGGCAGTAACCCACAAGAGCTGCCATAAACACTAGAACTGAGTATGTTTTGTGACCTTCAAAAACTAAATGATATGATTATTCATGAATAATGAACCTCTGTATAGTATGGTGTGGAGCTGCAGTGGCTCAAGTGGGTATGACGCTGAACTGCAGGCTGTGGAAGGTCAGTAGTTCAGCAGTTCGAGACCCGGGTGCTGCATGACGGAGTGAGCTCCTGTCTCTAGTTCCAGCTCCTGCCAACCTAGCAGTTCGAAAGCAAGAAATTGCAAGTAGATAAATAGGTACCACTTCGGTGGTAAGGTAACAGCGCTCCGTGCGCCTTGGTGTTTAGTCATGCCAGCCACATGACCACGGAAACGTCTTCGGACAGCGCTGGCTCTTCGGCTCTGAAACGGAGATGAGCACCACAGCCCTAGAGTCGGACTCGACTGGCTTTCGAGTAAGGGAACCTTTACCTTTACCTATATAGTATGGTGGTATACATCCTTCCTCTTTAATCCCCCCCAGTTGCGTCATACTCTTGAAGTGGTCAACATTCTTGCTTCCAGATATCAATATACCACTACTCAGTGGAGGCTGAATGGTTTCACCTGTGGTTAACATTTGGCATTTCTCAGTAAATCACATGGATATTTACCGCTAACTTGAACTGTTTGATTTGCATAGTCGTAATCTTGAGCCTTTTATAATGGTATCAGAGAATGTTTGATTTGTATAATATCTCTTCTACGACTGTTTACGTGCCTTTTGTTTTGATATGTGTCACCTACTATTATACACAAATACCACATTAAAGGGGAAGAATTAGTCTTAGTTTGTGTGTAGTATTAGATTAACCATCTTCGTGTTTACTATATAGTCTTTGGATTTATTTATTTTTTGCCTTGGTAGGTGTGTACTGGCTTAATGTAGATGGCTCATTGGGTTGTCATCACCTCAAAGTGTTAAAGGGTCCCTTTAAGCGCTTCCAGCTGGAGGGCACTGGCCCTGCACGCCTGAATTCCAAGCGGCATTGCCCCTTGGAGTTCAGGCATGCCGCACTTGGCTGGCCCCCCTCCCCGCCGC